CCTTACTACTGAATTATTGGTTATTGATAGATTCTAGGAAATGAGTAGTTATGTACCCATGTTGTGCCTACTAGTCTCCAACACATAGCTTCTAGCTTAGGCAACACAGATGGTCCCGGCTGATAACAGTGGGTAAGAAAGCAAAAATACACAGAAATACGAGAAAAGGATTTGTAGGGAAGAGAGTTGAGAAGGAAGTAGAGAGTAAGAAGAGACAATTGTTGAGTACACATTATGTATATGTGTGAAATTGTCAAAGAACAGATTTAATTAATGAAATAAGAATATATGGAACACAGAAAAGGCAGTTTGTTCTAATGGGATGCCTTATAACTATGACTGCCTACACTGAAATATATATATACAAATAAGAAAACAGATGATGTGTCTTCTGGCTGTGAGAAGAAAAACTGCCAAAAATAAGGAAAGAAATATTAACACTCAGAGTTGAAATGGATGAAATTAAATCTAAATGAACACTACAAAGTTTCAAGGGGAAAGCATAGATTTTCATAAAAAAATCATAAATGAGGGTATAGATTTGGAGAATCCTTATATAATGTATGTAAGGTCCTGATTTGAATATCAACACTACAAACAATCAAATAAACAAAAACAGAACTCAAGACATATTGAGAAATCTTAGCAAAAATAACCAAAAGGAAGAGAAAGAAGAAGCATATTAATACAATTTAAGTTGAAAGCAGGATATCATAACAGACTATTAAATTCCATAGGAACATCAGATATTATTTTCAAAATTATAATCTGTTATATTGGGAAATCTAGAAGAAATTGGTGTATTTATGTAAACAGGACTTACTGAAAGTGAAAAAATGTAAAGTTTAATGATATCTAATGATGTTGTGCATTCAGAAAAATCTTACTGCAGATCAGTGGAATATTGTTGTACCATGAAAATTATAACATCACATCAGTTGAAGACAAAACAGTAGATGGAACAGCAGGGCATCATGTCAAGTCAAGTGTATTAAACACAGCATAAAAGGTATTATGTGTTACTTATATAAGTAGAAGATAGAAAAAAGAATGATATGATTACAGAGAAAAGAGAACTATTGAAGTCAGGCTGATGGATCAGAGTGGAGGTAGTGGAGAGAACAGGATGGGGTGTGTACATGGGCAAAGCAAGATTTGTATTAACACAAAAAACACAGCTCTACCTCAAAGGATATAAGAGATAGTTTATTCTGGAGTCAGCTATAAATAACTGTAGCCTACTAATGCAGGTTTACATTACTTTAAATACTGTTTAAATGTTGTAACAGTTTGTAAAGTGTTTGTTGTATGAGAGCAAATCCAGTCTTAAATCATAAATCAAGATACATTCAAATACGCTGGTACAAACATAAGGTAGGTGGTTGAACAAAATGGGATCTCTCTGCCTTAGGCCTCTGATATTGCCTAAAATTATTCATAGATTTTAGTGGAAGCTAAGGACTTATTTGTATATTCAAAAAGGATTTATCTGGTAAACACTAGGAGGTTAGATCACACACAGACGTGGGCTATAAATGCTATTTAGGAAGCTAAAAATGCCCAAGAAAGTTTGACTGTGGGCTTACAAAAGCTCTATTCTACATAGTCATTTATGTGTTAGTCAGCCTTGTAGAATGTTTAATGTTGATCCAGCTTTTCCTGCGAATTTGACTTAATTGCAAGCAAGAAATATAAAAATGAAGATTACCATTATGTAACATTGAAGTGCATCAATAATTATAATATTAAAAAAATTGAAATCCATGGATAAAAGGGATTCCTTGAACACTGTTTTCGTGGTTGGTTGGTTGGTTGGATGGTTGGTTGGTTTGGTTGGTTTGGTTTTAGAGACAGGGCTTCTCTGTGTATCCTTGGCTGTCCTGGACCTTACTCTATAGACCAGGCTAGCCTCGAACTCAGAGATTCACCTGTCTCTGCCTCCCAAGTGCTGGGATAAAAGGTGTGTGCCACCATTTCCAGGCTAACCACTATTTTTAGAATTGTAAATAAGAAAGGAAAACAACAAATAAATACCAAATTATTGTATTAGCTAATGATCTATTAGGTACAATTAGAAGAAAAATTAGTTGTTCAGAAAAGTGTGTGTGTGTGTGTGTGTGTGTGTGTGTGTGTGTGTGTGTGTGTGTGTGTTGAAATAAACCAAGTAGAGTAAGGAAAATCCCATATGATCTTATTGATATTTGGAATTTGTCCAGTTTACCCTAGAGAAGTATATGAGGGGGTTATCAGTGGCCAGACACTTGAGGGGTCATATTAGACAAAAACTTGTCAAAGATGACAAAATTACATTTAGGCTTGAGAAATACATAACAGTTTGTACAGCAGAGTAAATATAATTAGCGATGATATATTCCTGAAATATGACTCATGTGAAATATTCTCATATAAAATCATAGTTTCATGTATATGTTAATTCTCAGTTTTAATTTATGACTAATGTAAAATACTCTTAGACATCATATTTTATGGGCTATATACATATTATTTTATCTGTCAAGTTAAATGATTAATTTAGTTAACAAAATGGAAAAATAAACCACGGAATTTTATAATAAAAACAGTATTACTTTCCTTTGTAATAGCACAGCTATGACATATCTCAATCCTGAGAATAATGTTAAAGGAATATTCACAGGTTTGTCTTGCATTGTTTGTTGTAGAATTGATATTTTCTTTGGGGACATAGCATGGTTTTTAATTAAACCTAAATAGAGAGTTCTTTCTTGCAGAAAATAAATCAATATCCTTTTGCTATTAACTACACAAACACAAAATTGACTTAACAGTTTTCAACTTTCCTTTGTATCCCAGGGGAACTAAATACTTTAGAGACTGTAAAGACAATAGAACAATTTAACTAATGAGGAGTTTTGAGAATTCAAACCCTGGGACATATGAAAGTTTAATAATGCTCCTTCTCCTTACCTCTCTATATCTGATCTCTGTGCTATGAAAACTCACCTGATCCTTCTGTGAGTAGATGGTTAGGAGGAAACAGCTGCAGTAACAACCATTGGAAGAGCTGGTGTGTCCCAATCAGGGCTTGTGGGGTAGGCATGGGAAGCAGCGAGGATGCGTGTACTGGGCTAGATCCTTAGAAGAGTGCAAACTGGAAAGTGCCTAGTTAGTCCATCACTGTAAAGACCCTGTACTTCAGAGGCACTTCAGTTTTCACTGAGTCTCTTTTGTCAATCTTATTCTGTTTCTGTGTCTCCATCCTTGCAATATGGTTATTTTTCCAATATCACTTTCTAAAGAGCATCTATTCATTCTCCACTTCTTTGTGAGATTTGTAGAATCCTTTATGACTTCCTTTGCCAGTTTCATATTCCATAACTATTTATTCAAGATCCATTTCTAGAACTATGATTTCCTGTTTATCATGTGTTACTCTCTTTAAAAGTTGTTAATGTATTTTTGTTTAAATTTACTATACTTACATTTAGCTATAAAAAATATTGGAAGATCCTCCTTTTGTAAGTGATTTCTCTTCAATATTTATTTTACTTCCAATATTTATATTTATTCAAGTCTTAAGATTTAATAAGCAAAATGCAATTTCCCCAATTTACAAATGGTGGGACAAAACAATCAGGATCTCAGAAAAATAAAGAGTGTAATTCAATCAATGCTAGAATGACATAAAGAAAAGAGAGAAGGCAGTATGAAAACCACATACCTTGTCATTGATGCCCCCATCCTCTGATTGTTTCACTGGCTGTATGCCAGATCACCATCTCATGGAGAAACTACATACTGTTCTCTCAGCTTTGCATACCTCTCTCCTTTGGGTTTTGTCTTTTGGTCTTTGCTCAAACATTTCTATTTCAGAAAAGATGCTACTATTCACTCTCTCCCTCTCACAGGAAGAACTATTTTATTACTTTGCAGGTATTTTATCCCAAATTAAATAGCATTGTCAGGTATTCATAATGCCAACACTTTCTATCATGGAAAATTAAGTAATTTATATAAGTCATAAATCTGTCTTTTATTTTCTATGATAATTTAGCTTATATTATCTTTCAATATCTGTAATCAGATTCATTGGTTATATATTTGACCATTAATGCTCCTGATTTCACAATAACATATTCCTACTCCTGCCTGTGGATATATAAGAACATATAAAAACACGCTCCCCCTGCTTTATTATGCTGATAGTGTGCTTTCTTGTTTCCTACCCCCATCTCTGTAGCTTCTTTCTCTTCCCAGAGACAGTCACTTGGAAGCAATTGTTCAAAAGAAGGAGAAGCAAAAAACCTCATTAATGATAAGTGGTGCATAATTTTCAAAGAGGAAACACACCTCTTGTATTTATATAATAAATCATCATCATTTTGCTGCTGCTCTAGTTAAAAGAGTATTCTCAACATAAATATGCATGATAAATTGGAGAGTTCACATAGTTTTCTCAAGATTACACAGATGTCAAAGGATGAATCAAAATTAAAGAGACCTGACAAAAGATTTTAACTTCTAAATTACTGTTCAATATTTATTTTTGAAATTTTGTGTACTGAAAATGATTATCATAAGGGAGTAGATTAATATTATCAACAATAATGCAAAAATGGCCAATGACACCAATTGAAATATACTGTTCACAAGGTACTTTTAAATATCACACATAATAATAGCAACAATTATGGAGTTAAAAAACAAGAACTCAGTGACAAACACATGAGGATTATAGAGGGAAATTTGATGAACTTTATTGAGCTATTAGGAGAAATACATTACAACAATTATATAGAGAAAGTAATGAAATAACTGTTTTGAAGGGGAGGGTTTAATTAAAGAATAAATTGTCTATGTGGGTTTATATAGAAAAATTTTATTAACGGCAGTTATATATGATGAAGGAGAGAGATATTTGGTGAACTAAAAATAAGAATAATTACAAATATTTACAAATGGTCAAAAAAATCACTTGGCTAAGTAAATGAGGTTAAATAATTGTCATGAGGAAAGACAAGCTTCCCCAGGTTATTTTTTGACTTGGCAGTGGCTATTACTTGAAAACTATCCTTATCTCATCTCCAGCAGACACAAAAGTTCTATGGAAACAGAGAACCACACACTGGTATCAGAATTTCTCATCCTGGGTTTCTCAGATGATCCTGAACTGCAGCCCATTCTCTTTGGACTGTTCCTGTCCATGTACCTGGTCACAGTGCTTGGGAACCTGCTCATCATCCTGGCTGTCAGCTCCAACTCCCACCTCCACAACCCCATGTACTTCTTCCTCTCCAATCTGTCCTTTATTGACATCTGTTTCATCTCAACTACAATACCAAAGATGCTGGTGAACATATGGTCACAGAGAAAAGACATCTCCTACACAGAATGCCTTACACAGGTATATTTTTTTAATACTTTCGCTGGAATGGATAATTTTTTACTCACTTTAATGGCCTATGATCGCTTTGTAGCCATCTGTAATCCCCTCAATTACACTGTTATCATGAACTCTCGGGTGTGTGCCCTTCTGGTCCTGATTTTTTGGATCATTATGTTCTGGGTATCCCTGATTCATATTCTATTGATGAATGAACTGAACTTCTCCCGAGGCACTGAAATCCCACATTTCTTCTGTGAATTGGTTCAAGTTCTCAAGGTAGCCAACTCTGACACTCAAATCAATACTGTTTTTATGTATGTGGTGACTTCCCTGCTAGGTGTGATTCCTATGACTGGAATCCTTTTGTCTTACTCACAGATTGTCTCTTCCTTATTAAAGATGTCCTCAACTGTGAGTAAGTACAAAGCATTTTCTACCTGTGGGTCTCACCTCTGTGTAGTCTCCTTGTTCTATGGGTCAGGACTTGGAGTTTACTTCAGTTCTTCTATTGTCCATTCTTCCCAGAGAAGAATGCTTGCCTCATTGATGTATACTGTGATCAGCCCCATGCTGAACCCCTTCATCTATAGCCTGAGAAACAAGGATGTGAAAGGTGCTCTTGGAGAACTTTTCATCAGAGTTGCCTCTTGTCCATCTTGGATCATTGACATCAGAACTAAATTCATTTTGAGAACTCTAAGGCAAATTTTATGAACATACCTATCTTGGGTGGTCTTTTTCTATCATACCCCATGTGCCTAATTTACACTATTCTGAAAGTATATGTAACTTTGCGTTTTTGTATTTTTTTTACAGAAATGATTTTAATTCACTATGCATGTTGTTTAATGTTTGCAATTGTTCTTATAGGATTTTTTTGATATTTTAAATTTGATGTGAATTATGGCTCATAAATTCATGTGAGTTTATCCTAAACCATTATTGTAAGGTTAATGTTCTTCACCTTAACTTGATAGTATTCTTGTCTTCCCTAAAGGGAATATGGAAACACTAACATCAACATTTTTATCTTATCAGTTCTGTTATAATTATTTAGTATATATGATTTTATACTGAAAACATTGTTGTATTGTTTTTCCTTTTCCTTTTTGTTATTTTTGAGATTATAGCTTAATTAAATTTCTCCCTTTCCTTTCCGTCCTCCAAAATCTCATTTATACCCCCATTTGTCCTTCAAATTCATGGCCTCTTTAACTAATATTGTTATTGCAGGTATATACATATATGCATATCCATATGTATTCCTAAATATAATCATTTTAGCCTATTTAATGTTACTTGTATGTATGTCTTCAGGGGTAATCGTTTTAACACTAGTGTGCTCTTCCCTGGGAAAGACCACCTCTTCTCTGTCCAGATTTTCTCAGTTGTCTGTAGTTACAGAAAACTATTTGTAGTTTGGCATATTTATTGGTACCATCCTTGTTCAGCCCATACTTGGACAGTCATGTTTGTGAGACTTTCCTGGGTGTAGCTTCTGCTATTACTAGGAGGCACAATCTCACAGTTCCTGATACGTTGGCTCTCATAATCTTTCCTTTCCTTCTTCTACAATATGTTTTGCAGATGTATCCATTGGGATTGGACTCCACAACTACAATTTGATTGATTGTGCTTTTCTGTAGTGGTCTCTGTTGCTTGCAAAGAGAAGTTTCCTTGATGAGTGATGATGACTATACTTATCTGTCACTATAAGGTCAAATGTTTATAGATTGTTGTTAGGGGTTATATTGATTTAGTAAATTAGTGGTTGTAGATTCTCCTCCAATATAATGGCACTCAAAGGTGCTATGCAAGCATCCACTATAGATAGGCAAGCAATAGCTCTACCCAGCTATGACTCCTATGCACCACATTGATGACCAGCATGTCATGGTAACCTTAAGAGTACAAAGGTGGTGCACATATTTTTGTAGTGAACACAGTTCACTCTTTGGACTTAAGACCTTCCCAACAAGAGGGAAACCATGCCTGGCACTGGAAACCTAGCTTACTACACATAGTTAGTGTGGTCATGATTTCTTAGTTTTATGGTTAATCAGGGAGGAACCTGAGATTTCTGTAATTTAAGCTGGACAGTGAGTCTTATATTTACTGTGCTCCTTTATGCAATGACGATTGAGGTTTGAACAGAAAATCTCCACAGTTGTTTTGTAAGAAGATTCATTCCTGTAATTCTTTTTTAAAATTTTTTATACTGTTTGTTAGTCTGCTCCTTAGAAATTTGTACTATCACAGAAGATTGTGTCACTACAGAATCTCTACTCCTTTAGCTGTTATCCAATCCCAGCTCACTTTTTGCCAGAAGTTTTCCCAATTATACAGATTTTACTTTTCCTTGTCATTAATCCATTATATAATCTTGATATTTGGTGTTTATCAGATATGCTTTTGCAAGTTTTTTTCATAGTATGATAGTTTTTTTTAAAGAGTTGTTTACTGCTAAGTATACATGTATTATAGAAGAGATCTTTTGGAGTTATTGCTGGAAAACTGAAACCTGTCCCTTTCTGACTAACGTCTATTTAACACCCTTCCCTTATGCTCTGACAGTCACTTTACTCTGCATGAAATCTGCTACTTAAGGTCCACATATAAGGTGATGCATGTCATATTTGTCTTTTTATCTGTATTACTTGATTCGTGTAGCTGTATATTTTTGCCTTACATGTGTCACATTTATCTATGCATCTTATAATAAACACAAAAATCCACACACAATTAAAATAATTCTGTCAAGATAATGATAGTATACAGAAATCTTGATGTACCAATTTAATATCCATTGGATAGGTATGTTTAAATGAGACTACCAAATCTTATGGTTATTCTCTTTTTTGAGAAAATTGTATATGTTGTTTTCTATAATTATATTAATTTATGCTGCCAACATCATTCAAATATTTGCTATATTTGATAAACATTTGTTGTCTACTATGTTCATAGTTTTTGAAGCATACACTAATATTTTATTACAGTTTTGAATATGTATTACCTTTATGATTAGTGAATTAGTGAATATGTTCTATATATCTTATATTTAGTTATATTCTTTTGAGAATTTTCTGATCAGAACCTTTGTTGATTTTAAGCAGATTATTATTTTCTTACAGTTGGGTTGTGTGATTTTTCAATATTTTTATATTGAATTCTCCACTAATAAATGATTTTAAATATATTCTTCTCTCATTTAGTTTTCTTTTTTGTTAAAAGGTACTTATAGTATTTCAAAGTGTATTTTAATGGTTTTATTATAATGTTAATAATAGATAAAATGTGTTTTATTATGAAATTTTCATGCATGTCCAAAATGTATTTTGATTATATTTTCCCCCAATAACCCTCTTTTCTAAAGCATTTTTATTAAGAAAACTTTTTATTCATTTTACATACAAATCGAAGATCACTCTCTTCCCTCCTCCTCTCCCTCCAGTCTCCCCCTCCCAAACCACCCCCTATTCCCTCCTACAAGAAGGTAAGGCCTCCCATGGTGAGATCCAAGTCCCTCCCCCTGCCTCAAGGCTGTGTGAGGTGTCCCATCATAGGTAGTGGACTGCAAAAAGCTTGCTCATGTACCAGGGATGGATTCTGATCCTACTGCCAGAGGCCCCTTAAGCAGATCAAGTTACACAACTTTCTCACTATGCAGAGGGCCTATCCCAGTCCCATGCAAGCTCTATAGCTATTGATCTAAATTTCATGATTTCCCACTAGTTTGGTTTGGTTATCTCTGCAGGTTTCCCCATCATGATCTTGAAGCCCTTGCTCATAGAATCCCTTTTCTCTCTGTTTGACTAGACTCCTGGAGCTCGGCCTGGTGTTTGGCTATGGATCTCTGTATTGGCTTCCATCAATTACTGGAGAAAAGCTCTATGATGACAGTTAGGGTATTCACCGACGTGATCACTGGGGTAAGAAAGTTCAGTTCAGGCACCCTCGCCACTATTGCCAGTAGTCTAAGCTGGGGTCATCCTTGGAGATTCCTGGAAACTTCCCTAGCACCCGGTTTCTCTCTATCCCCATGATGTCTCCCTCTATTATGGTATCTTTCATTGTTTTCCCACTCCACCCCTGTTCCAGCTTGACCATCCCATTACCTTATGTTCTCATCCCCCATACCCTACCCTCCATTGCCCACCCCTCATCCCCAGTTTATTCGTGGAGATCTCATCTATTTCTCCTTCCCATGGTGATCCATTTGTCCACTTTGGGTCCTCCTTGTTAGTTAGCTTCTCTGTAGTTGTGGGTTGTAGTCTGGTTATCCTTTGCTTTACATCTAGTATCTACTTATGAGTGAGTACATACCATGTTTGTCCTTCTGAGTCTGGGTTAACTCACTCAGGATGATATTTTCTAGTTCCATCCATTTGTCTTAAAACTTCACGATGTCATTTTTTTCTCTGCTGAGTAGTACTCCATTGTGTACATGTACCACATTTTCTTAATCCATTCTTCAGTTGAGGGACATCTAGGCTGTTTCCAGGTTCTGACTATTACAAATAATGCTGATATGAACATAGTTGTGCATGTGTTCTTTTGGTATGATTGAACATATTCCATGGGTATATGCCCAAGAGTGGTATAGCTGGGTCTTGAGGAAGATTGATTCCCAATTTTCCTAGAAACTGCCATACTGAATATTGAGAGCTGAAATCAATAAAATAGAAACAAAGTGAACAATACAAAGAATCAATGACACAAAGAGTCAGTTCTTTGAGAAATATCCCCATAATCCTCTTTATCCACTTTCTTCTTTCCAACAATCTTCTTTATTTTATGTCATTTTTTATAACCTGATAAGTTTCTTTAGATTGTTTACAAGAACATGTATACCTTACAAATGAGTATCCTACTGAAAATATATTTCTCTCCCCTATTAGCTGTAACTTCAGAGAGGGGTAGGGCCCTCTGAGCCTCTCTAACATCCATGAGCAGGTTTGACAGGCTCAATTTTGTGCAGATCTTGTGCAGTTAATCACATCTGCTATGAGTTCAAGGGTACAATATCAATGTCATGTCTGGAAGCCAGCTTTCCACATCACCCTTCTCAGTTTTCTCTGGCTTTTACATTTATTTTAAACCTTCTTTGAGAATGTTTTCTAAGGTATGTGTGAGGCAGATATTATGGGTGTTCCACTTATGGCTTGATGTTCATACTTGATATGGTAAACCTAGAAAGAAAGAAAGAGAGAGAGAGAGAGAGAGAGAGAGAGAGAGAGAGAGAGAGAGAGAAAAGAAAGAAAGAAAGAAAGAAAGAAAGAAAGAAAGAAAGAAAGAAAGAAAGAAAGAAAGAAAGAAAGAAAGGAGGGGAGAAAGAAAGAAAGGAGGGGAGAAAGGGAGGGAGGAAAGAAGGAAGGAAGGGAGGGAGGACAGAGGAAGGAAGGAAGGAAGGAAGGGAGGAAGGAAGGAAGGAAAACTCCATCACTGGGAAATCCTGGTAGCTAGTGAGGAAGCTACTGTTGTCACTTTTCCCTAAATGAACGTTCTGTGCCTGACGAACCACCTTCTAATTGGTTGACTTGATATCCATTGAATTATGCATATGTCATCCATGGTGACAGAAGTACCTGTCTGCAAGAGGTCAGATGTAACTTCAGAGACTTGTAGCTTTCAGAAGCATAGTGTAGATTGTCTTCTCCCTTTGCAAATTGTTCATCTGTGAATGGAAGATGAGGAAGATGTTACTTTTATCCAATTGCAGTTCGTGAGTGCTTTTACTGTCTGCACTTTTGATACACATTCCTATGCATACATAAATTGATCACTTCTATCACTTATCTTCCCATTCAACTCCCTCACCAACAACCATTCAGTAGCTGCCTGAACCAACATCATAGAGTATTCTCACATTTGTGCTTTTATTAGTTTTACACTTGTCTTTAACCTATTCTTTCCATATAGTTCTTAATGGTGTAGGAAAATCTAATCTGATTCTTCCACATGTGGATTTCCTAATTTCTTATCACCTTTACTAATTAGACCATCTTTTATTCAATATGTCCCTGATATCTATGTCTGTCAAAAAACTATCAAATAGGCAAATTAACTTATAAATGTATCTCCAGATATGTAACTAGTGACACTTTTTCATGTTAATTAATTAGCATGTATAATTACATAAATTATTGTGACATTTCTATGC